TGGTTGATCCATGTATTTTTAGAGAATTGGACAACAAAATTGATGTCTGGGCATATTATGGTGAGGTAGATCAGTCACTCAACAATTATTCTAAAGGATTCCAGGTTAACAAGTAATTGTTCATCTTCATGAGAGAGTTTCAAATTATGCTCTATAGGGAGATATACGGGTTTGGTTCCCAAAAAATCGGTTTCTTTGAGAATATCGAGAGTGTACTTTTGTTGAGTGAGTAAAATTCATTGAGGTGATCTGGCCACTTCTATCCCAAGAAAATATTTCAAACTTTCCCAAGTCTTTGATGTTAAATTGTTGTTGAAGAAAATGCTTTAGTTGATGAATTTGAAACTCATTGTTCCCGGTGATGATGATGTCATCAACATACACTAATACAAGGGTGATGAGATTTCTAGACTTGTAGATGAACAAGGAATAATCCGCAGGTGATTGCTTGAAGCCAGCGACAATAAGAGTATTTGAAAATTTTTAAAACCAGCTCCTTGAGGCTTGTTTTAGCCCATAAAGAGACTTGTGAAGTCTACAAACTTTGTTCTCCCCTTCTCGAGCCAACCCGGTGGAAATCTCATATATACCTCTTCATGTAAATCGCCATGTAAAAAGGCATTATTTACATCGAGTTGGTAAATATTCCAATTGTGAGAGGTTGCAAGAGCAAGCATCTCACAATAACCAACTTAGCGACGGGGGCAAAGGTTTCATAGTAGCCCAATCCATCTGTTTGGGTGTACCCCTTTGCAACCAAACGAGTCTTTTAGCGCTCTATGGTTCTATTGGCTTTGTATTTGATTTGAATACCCACTTACATCCAATAGGGTGTTTTCCTTAGGGCAGTGGCTCTATGGTCCATGTCTTGGTTATATCTACTGCCATAGCTTCACTCCAAAGAGGATCTTTAACAGCTTGAGAGCAAGTTTTGGGTTCTTCTTTGGAATAGATGGTGGAGACAAAAGCTTTGTAAGTTGGTAAAAATTTTGGACATATGAGAAAAAAAATGTTCAATTGGATAAGGCTTACTTGAAGATGGCATGATGGAGATGGATTCTTGCTGTTATGGATATCAATTTGCAACAAAGCAGACATAGTCTTGAAGCCATGCTGGTGGAACATGTGGACGAGTAGATCGACGAAGGGGAATATAGCGTGATGAGGCATCATGAGTGACAAGTTGTGACTCATTGTTTTCAGAATTTGAATGGTTATCTCCTTCCGTAGCATATTGAATGGACAAGGTTGGTTGGTTGTTTGAAACAACAAAGTCAGTATGAATATCCAATTCTTACACGGGATTAGTTAAAACAACATGAGAACGATGTGAGTCAGATGCTGTGTTTTTGAAAGGAAATACATTTTCTCATAAAATAACATCATGGCTCATGTATATGGTGTGAGTATCAAGATCATATATCCTATACCCACGTTGACCTAAAGGATGCCCTATAAAAATTGAAGGCTTTGAACGTGGTGCAAATTTATGTCGTTGAATGTCATTGTTCTGAACATAACAGAAACATCCAAACACCAGCAAATGCTCATATTTGAGTGGTTTTTTTTGGAGAATTTCATAAGAAGTTTTACCTGAGAGAGTGGGTGTTGGCATTCGATTAATGAGGTAGCAAGAGGTTAAGACACATTCACCCCAAAATTTGATAAGTAGGTTGGCTTGTAATCGCAAGGCACATGCAACCTCTAAGAGGTGCTGATGCTTGCGCTCAACAATACCATTTTGTTGTGGGATATGGATACAAGTTTGTTCATGCATGATGCCATGATCATGGAACATATTTTGCATAACATTGGATAAAAATTCAGCTCCATTATCTGTTCGAATTTAGCGAACTTGATGACGGAATTGAGTTTTTATCATGTTAAGAAAATGACATAAGAATTTGTAAGTTTCAGACTTGTATTTCATTAAGTAAGTCTAAGCGTACTGTGAACAGTCATCTACAATGGTAAGAAAGTAGTGTGCTCCTGAATGTGAAGCAGTGGGATAAGGACGCCAAATGTCACATTGAACTAAATCAAAAGGAACATCACTTTTATTTGAACTAGAATGAAAAGGAAACGGGACTGTTTTGCAATAGTGCAAACATCACAAAAAGGGACAAAACATGCAGGAGAACTAACATTATTCAATTTGAAACTAGACAACCTATTTTTAGAGGAGTAGTCGAGCCTTTGATGCCAGATTTCTGAAGAAGCAGTGGATGATTTGGTCACAATAGCAACGACAGGTTGGTTGGCAAAATGATATAATCCATCATGCATTTCCCCCATTCCAATCAGCCTCTTCGTGGTCAAGTCCTGAAAAGCACAGAAGGTGGGAAAGAAAGTAATGACACAATTAAGAGGGTTAGTAAGTTTACTAACAGATAGCAGATTAAAGGAGAAATTGGGTACATGAATAACGTCTTCACGTACAATAGAAAGGAATATAATACTCTTACCGACATGTGTAACTTATGTGCTACTGCCATTTGGTAAACAAACTGGTTTATTTTAATGGTGAGTAGTGGGTAATATTAAATATTACAGGTGAGGTGTGAAATGATGAGATGCACTTGAATCTATGACCCAGGAAGTATGATATTGTTGAGAGACACAAAGACAAGAGTTTATACTTGCAAAATTTGTAGTAGAAGGCTAAGAATCAATGTTGAGCATGGAAAGAAGTTGTTGATATTGGCTCGTGGTGAGAGGTGGAAGAGATGGTGCTCCTCCATGTTTTGAAGCCTTTTGGAAAGAGTTGGCAGCATGGTGAGAACTCACGTTGTGAGCATGATTTTTTTCTTTTTGTTGACGGTTATATCACTCATTGAAAAAACGTTTTGGATGACCTTCGAGGTAGCCATGAATCTCGTAACATGTATCTCTGGTGTGACCTAACTTTTTGTAGTGATCACAGTAAGGCTTCCCTTTTGATTGAGTAGGCCATTTGCATTGAATCTATCTGCTATTAGATCCATTGACAGCAAGAGCAGTTGTATCTGAAGGAGTTGACTAGCTTTTCTGTAAGTCTTTGTGTTTTTCTTCTTGAAGAACAAGAGAGTAGGCCTTCCCTACATTGGGTACATGTTCCATGGCTAGAATCTGATATCTAATGGTTCGAAATGATTCATTTAGGCCCATGAGAAACTGATACACTTTTGTCAGTTTGTTGGTTCTTGTAGCTCCTTGAAAGAACCACATGTGTAGTTGGATACTTTGGAACATGAGCTTAGCTCATCCCGTAAGACTTTGAGAGAGGAAAAATATGGATCTACAGTTAGATGTTGTTGCTGTAATGCAGCAATCAAACGCTTGACTTCATAAATTTGTGGTCCATTTCCTTTAGAAAAATGGTCCTCAAGGTCCAACCAAAGATCACGTGCAATCTCTGCATAGACCAAACTGTCGGCAAGGTCTCGCACAAGACCAATGTACAACCATCACAGAACCATGAGATTGCACCAATCCCATGCTCTAACTTTAGAGAGGGGAGCAAGAGGTTTGGGAAGGGTGCCGTCAACGAAACAAAATTTATTTTTGGCTCCAAAAGCCACTTTCATGGAGATTGTGACCAGCAAGAGGTTGTGAGATGAGAATGTTGTCACCAGCAAGAGGTTGTGAGCAAGAGGTTGTGAAACAAAATTTATTTCCAAGTGCCAAAGTTGTCACCAGCAAGAGGTTGTAAGACGAGAATGTTACTTGGATTGTCAGATGGATGCAGGTAAAAGTAAGATGATGTGTCTGTGATAGGAGTGCTACTGCCAGTTGGTGGTGGCCCATTCGCTGGAGTGGTATTGTCTTGCTAGTTGGTGGGTGCAGACATGATGAATGTGCAGAAGCAAGCGAGCCGGGAACATCAATAAAATAGAAGGGAGCAGAATGCAGATGACCAGGCGAGCAAGAATCTTAGAGGTTGAGTTAGAGAGAGAAAAGGTGTTTCAGTTTTCTGGGCGAGCACAGTGGGCAAGCTGGTATCTGCTGGAAATTCTAGCGTGAGCACAATGGGCAAGCAGGTATCTGTTGGAAATTCTAGTGCAATCACAGTGGGCACAGTCTGATTCTTGCTCTTGATTTGGGGGGTTAAAGTGTTGAGAAAGAGTTGGGAAGGGACACTAGATCTCAAGAGGGAGAATATGGCACTCAAGACAATTAAGCGTGACCCAAAGATATATACAGTGCTTATATTCCTCGAAAGAAAGCAGTTGTGGGAATGAGAAAGCCACAACTAATGATGAGAACAAAGTGCAGACCCCATTGAAGAAAGGAAATGTGGAAGGAAAACAAAGACCCACTTATGGCTCTAACACCATGTTAATCAATAAATCATTAATTGAAGAATTGTTTTGTATTGTTATCTTCAATAATAGTTTGTGTACATAATATATATAGGAGAATAATAACCTAAATTCCTAATGACAAAGAAGACTAAGTCTTGAGTTTGAATGATTCTTGGATGAGGTGACGGTGTATATCCCTAATAAATATCAAAGTTGAATGGTTCTTGGATGAGGTGACGATGTATATCCATAACAATAGTTGAAATTTGCAACATTACATCTTAGATTTGAGTAGGTTAGATCCAAGTCTAACGTATTCAAACCCAACTAGATATTCAAATCCAACTAATTCTACCCCTAGCTTGGACATATCGGGTGCAGTGGACTAGTGTTCGGGTCGGGTCGGCATTGACCTGACCAATATAGAGCCCTAGGGATCAAGTGCAAAAGAAAACATTCTTTCTTGGCGCCTGTGGTCGGGACTGGGGATCAAAAGCAAAGGAAAACATTTGCCTTTAACATAGGTGCTCTTCATTGAAAAATGGTATTCCTTGTTGTCAAAAGAAAGAGCATTATTATTGCTCGTTATTTGATTTCCCGACTTTCTTCAAGGAAATATTACACACATGGCCTTGTACACTACCATTATTATAGACAAACTTTAACACACATATACCAAGTGCATCATAAACACACCAAGAATTATCACTTGTATGATCACGCATCGGACCATGTAACTTCATAGTCCCCAACATCTGAACCATGGATATTCAAAGCTTTCCAAACCGCAGGAGAAGCATCGACTACGTTGTTAGGGCAGGGCGGTTGGAAGTCATGGTCTGTGTCGCACCCATAAATGGAGTCGCATTCATCAACAACCTTCGCCTTAACTGTTTTACCATTAGCACTTATGCTAATGAAATTCAGGCATCGGCTACCATTACTGTACCATCCAGTTGATAGAGCTACCACCATCTCACCATCGTCGTGGTACTGGTTGTCGCACTCCGAGGGGCCACCTCCATCACCACCCTCAGCAAAGCTATTGATAGTCATTGTCGCTTTGGTGTTGCCTGTGATTGGGGGAGAGCAACGGTACTGGGGATACATCTTCCCCTCCTTGCAACAGTCAGAGTCGTTATCCGGATTGCAGTGTCCGGTCTTGCCTCTCAAGTATCCGCTAGGACGACACGCCCCCAAAGAGGAACTGTGTCCCATTACAAACCTAATCCCAAGGTTAAGAAGCAATAATAGTGAGCTCAAGAAACGTGTATGGCTTCCCATTCTCTCTTCGTGTTTTGTTGAAAGGTTTGCTAGAAAGTGTTGTGGCGGTGTAATTTGTTGGAGAGTTGGGGGAGGAGTACCTCTTCTTATACTAGTCCCCATGGACCACACTTTTTTTTGTGAAGACTTGACGCGCAACTACGTACGCAAAGTTTGATTACATTAAGTGCCAAAATGCCCATTTCATTTCAAATACAAGTCACATGTACGTCTAATCCTGGCTTTAGTATTTGTAATGACACTCGCCAAAACATTTTTATATCACAAATTTGTTTCTTTGCAGTGTAACCTTTGTTACCATGTATTTGTCATCTTGGAGACCAATTTCAAACCCTAATGCATGTTTACTCCAATATATAACAATTTTGGTTCCCCTTCACTTGTAATTACACTATAGAAAATATAAAGAAGGAAAAAGATAAGTAAACGCCGCCATCTAAACTTATGGTCCCATATACAATCTTGGGTCCATGGGTCGCCTATGAACCCGCCAAAATTTCAAAAAAAAATTACAAATAATCCCCTAGTACCTTTTTTGACTTTTTCTTTTTTTCAAAATTGCCATATTATTTTTCGTATATCCTCTCAAAGTCCAAATCCCTTCCCCTCGAAATGGTGTCATTCTCTTCCCCTACATTAACCCTCCCTCTCTTCTCTCTTATCCAGTGTCGTAAGATCGAACCGGAACAGTTAATAGGACATGGGCTCAAAAGTGATTTAACTGGCCTAACCGGTAAACCGGCCGATTCAACTGCTTTAATCGGGCAAGTCCCATACGATAAAAAAAGTGTTTAAAAAATAAAAAAATACAAAAAAAAAAAATCTATTAACATATAAAAAGCATGTAAAGAATGTGATTAAAACAAAACACACTCAAATGAAGTTAAAATTTAATGAAAAGATGGATTTTAACGAATTGATTTGTGACTAGAGGTATTTTTAAAAAATTTTGAAAAAATGGAAAAATATAAAATTATTATTGACCTTTTTTTTTTTTTAATTCTTTACCATAATGTAAAGAATATTAAAATAGTATTAAAAAATTGACTTGACCAACTTTTAAAAAAAAAAAAATGAAGAAAAACTTAAGTTATATATAATATAGGCTCTTCTTTCTGTCAAATAAATAATAAATGGTGGATTGGTTAGTGGGTCTAATAATAAAGGATTTGTTTCAAGTTTGATTCTTGTGGATATTAAATTTTTGAATGAACGGTGAAAAGAATTAGAATTTTTTTTTACTTTTTTCAAAAAAAAAAGGACTTGTTTCAAAAAAAAATGTCAAATAATCCCCTACCCCGTTTTGACATTATATTTTTCTCAAATTGCCATATTCTTTTTCGTATATCCTCTCAAAGTCCAAATCCCTTCCCTTTGTAATCCTGTCATTCTCTTCCGGTACATTAACCTTCGCTTTTCTTTTTCTCTCTTGCCCATGAATTCCCCCATTTTCTCTCTCTACCCATGAGAGAGGGAAATGATTAGCATGGGAGAAGGAGAAAGGTGAGGAAGGTTCATGGGGGTAGAGAGAGAGAGGGTAAAGATGTGAAGGAGAGAGAAAAGAGGTGAAAGGAAAGAGTGAAATGGAGTTCGGGGAGAGATAGCAGGACTAAAAAAGGAGAAATGGATTTGAATTATGGTGGGATAGGTGAAATATAAAAGGGCAATTTAGAGAAAGAAAAGAGAAAAATATGGGTTAAAGTTATTAGACTATTTTATTTATTATTATTAGCATTTTAAAAAAAAATTGGTGGGGTCCATGGGCTCCAAAGTTGTATATGGGACTTGGATGGCGGGTGTAGGCCTTTTTTCCTATAAGAATTATAATTGTGATTGATAGATTAAGGTATCTAACTTGGCTCGTTAGGGAAGTGGATGGGGTCGTGGTGGTAGCATCTCCACATTCAAGTGCTATATCGTGGTATTTATTTCTATTGTTGACACATCTAATTAACACATTTAAAATGTAACTCTCTTAATTTATTGAAAAAACGGACAAGGGTCCGTCTTTTCCATTGAATTATCCAAAAAAAAAAAAAAAATATTGGTTCCTTATGAAATCTCACAGGTATAATTGCAAGCCAACAACCCCTGTCAAGAATGCGGGTCCCACCTTAAGAACATTGGTGCCGCCCTAAAGCTAAGTGAGATACTTCCATAAATTTGTTTGGGAATACTTAATGAAATTAGTTTTAAATTAGGTAAATTTTTAGCTTCATGATTTTCTTTCAAGGATTTCACTTCTTGGCATCTGGAAATCTGAGGCCCAAGTTGGACCAAACCAAAATTAGGGAAAAGGGCCATGTTTTATGTGAGGGTGCAGGCATTTTTGCCCATGGGCAAAATCATCCAAGGATATAAACTGGTAATTTAAGGTGGTTTTAACTTCAAGTTCTAGTGCCCATTAACCGTAAATGTAGTTAGTGATTACTAGGAGTTCAATCAATAGAATTGTTACCACTGAACTAATGTGACTGTTAACAGAAGTAAACCCTCTGTTGGCACGTGTATGTCCATGAGGCTTCACCTATTTTCATGGGAAAAATTGTATAGGTATTTATTTTTTAGTGCTTAATCAATGTTAAAAGATTTTCTTAAATGTAATGTATAAAATAAATAATTATTCTCTCAAGATTTTTCTAACATTCATATGAGATTCGGAGGAGCATCCTTAAAATCTGGGAGGTCGTTACCCTATTGAGAAATGGAATGTTGGCCCCATCTTCTTTCTAATAAATATGGGAAGTTAGAGGGAGTGAAGATACAAAGAAAAATTTACAGAGACTCTATGTTTATAAAAAACTTATTTTCTTTATGAAAAGAAAGGGGTTCTTAAAATAAAATTCGGGTTTTATGATCATCAACCTCACGGGACACCTCTATCTGATCTAAAATTTGGTTTGCATTGATATCAAAGCCATCTAGGTTTTATTTTTATTTTTATTGGTATTTACCATCTCTCTCCCACGTATGAGTATATTTTCACTATTTATGCTTTGATTTTTTTTTTATTTTTTGTATACATCGTGTTTTAATATTTTTTATACATGTAGGACAACTTCTTCTTCTATAAATATTCTCTGGGAATTGTTAATGAACTTGACTCATTCGTCTATTCTGTCTGATATTTGGATGAAGCATGAGTTCTATAACAAGATATCGCACCTATAGATCTATTCCATATTGTATTGTGTTTAATTTTTTAGTCCTTGATTGTCTTGACCCGAGAACTAGAAAGAATAAGAATTTTATAATCAAGGGTCCCTCCGTTTTGAATGAGAGAGATGATGAAATATGGTTCCTAGATATCTCAATTGGTAAAATTCGGACCAATTGTATCTCTACTGATTTCCTTGTGATTCACGGCGTTAATTAAATAGTGGGGGCTTATCTTATAAAATTGCCCCTTTACAATTCTTCAACCACCCAGAGGAACACATTGCCTTTTCACTTTTCAACAAGGGGGTTTTCTTTCTCTACAATTTATGTGCCAAGAAAACCCAAGTGCTTATATGTTCCTTTTTCCATCGAATTTTTTTTTGTTCTTATTTGAGTAAAGGCTGCTTTGGTTTCTTTGGTTAATATTATTGTTTCTGCTAGCCTAGTTGGTAACAAAATATTCAATTCATATATTATGTTTTCAGCATATATATCTTAGTATAAGAGTTTGCTTGTAATAAGTGATAATGACAAAAACGATGGAAGGATAAAATATTTTAGATTTAAACCAAGACAAATTTTACATGCATACAGACAAACTTCACACCCATAGAAACTAATTACAGCTCAATAATCATCACATTCATGGTCATGCATCGGGGCATGTGATATGGTAGGCCCCAATCTCAGATCCTGGGATCTTCAAAGCTTTCCAGACCGCAGGTGAGGCATATCCGGATCTGAGTCGGGTGGGTCCATTGCCACAAAAAAGTTGAGTCCAAAAGCTCAGTGAAATGGGTTCATTTGATCAAATTCTTCAAAAATTTTGTTCAAAAACAGTGTTTCAAAACCCGGATTGGTGGGACGTGTTTCAGGAAATTTAACTGGATGCAAGTGTCTCATGAATCTTGGAATATTGCTTGTAAACTTGTCTTTCACCAAATTTGTTCTCAGCTGTTTGCCCGTTCTTAAATTTCTAAGGGAAACTTAACAAGGGTGTGTTTTTTTTCAAGGGTTTGTTTACAATGTTGACCCTCTCGTTCCTACCTTTTGCACTCTGAGCTCTGAGCATACGAACAACGCTTCTCAATTTTCTCAATTGTGCTATTTGAGTAAGGGTGCAGTTTGCATATGGATGCATTCTTAAGTGTAGAGGTATGGTGTACTTTCAAAATTTATCATGGTGTATAATTTTGATGCAAAATGTTACGAGAATTATCTCAAAATTTATTATTATATCTAATTGTAAAATTTTAAATTTCAAAACTGGTTACAATCAAGTAGATCTATAAACGTATTACAAAATGTAACTCCTAATCTATTTAAAATTGGGCAGGGGCTGTCTTCCCTACTGAAATACCCAAAAAAAAATAAAATTTGTTTTATTACTAACCCAAAAAAAAACATTGTTTTAACACTGTTTTATTGTAGTAAATCGTCTTTTCCACTGAAATACCCAAAAAAAAAAGAAAAAAATTTGTTTTATTACTAACCCAAAAAAAAACATTGTTTTAACACTGTTTTATTGTAGTAAATCGCCAGTTCACTTATAGATCACCAGTTCTCTTATAGACTCATACAATTTCCAATATATTGACAGTTCTCTTATAGACTCATACAATTTCCTATATGTTGACAGCATCGGCATGAGGTGACTGATTCCTGGGTTGGACTGATTTTTTGGTTGGACCAGGTGATTCCATGCCGACTCAATGTTTTTAAAATCATTATTATAGATGCTTTTGCTTGGTTATGTTCTTTATTCCTGCCCGTAA